TCGCCTGTAATCTTAGCTACTCAGGAGCTGAGGCATGAAGATCACTTGAGCCCAAGAGTTTGATGTTTCTGTGAGCTATAATGGCACCATGGCGCTTTATTCAGGGCAGCCGAGTGAGACTCTGTCTCAAAAAAATAAAATAAATAAAATGAAGGCAAAACTTTGAGAAAGAAATAAGAAAACAACAACCTCTGACATTGAAAAGCTTGCCTGACACTTCCAGGTAGACTATGTTATTCTTCTATTTAAACATAAATAATATCACAGAATACCAATCCCAGACAAGTCTATTCTGAGACCTTGATAAAATGAAACAAATTTCATAATTTTGTCTAAGCACTTTGCCACTCACAAAATACCAAATGCTCCTTTTTTAAAGCCAAAATGAGTGAGTGACTGCTACTTTATCCTCATAACATTCTTCCCTCCCTATAGCTAAGATTTGCTGAATCATAGAATCCCCCCATACTTTATGATAGCATTCAATCTAGATCAAATCATCACTTTTTCAGGTGTGGTAGCTCACAATTGTAGTCCTACCACTCTGGGAAGCTGAGGTAGGAGGATTACTTGAGCTCAGGAGTTCTAGACCAGTCTGAACAAGAGCAAGAACCTGTCTCTACAAAAAAATAGAAAAATTAGCTGGGCATGGTGGCATGTGCTTGTAGTCCCAGCTACTTGGAAAGTTGATACAGGAGGATTACTTGATCCCAGGAGTTTGAGGCTCCAATGAGCTACGATGATGCCACTACACTTTATCTGGAGTAACAGAGTAAGACTCTTGTCACCAAAATTAAAAAAAAAAATCACTTTCTTATACCTTCATCTAAATCACCAAACTAAAGTCTAAAAGGTTGTTTATAACATGATCTTGCTAAGACACTTTAAAGTGTCACTTGCAAAGACAGATCTTTGATTCTGCATAGTATGCATTCTCCCTTGCTCTAATAGGTAATAAACCCAACTTGTTCATACTCAGTTCAGGAATATTACTAGTGGTCTTTGACTTGAAGGCATTGACAACTTAAAAACCTTTATAAGAAAATACTGGAGAATATGTGTTCCCCCTTATCCACGGGGGATAAGTTGGGAATATAGGGAAATAAGTAAGAAATTACAGTAAGAAGTACAGTAAGAAATTAAAAACAATAACTGATAAAAGGAACAATGATAATAATATAGCATAATAAAGTTACATAAGTGTGGTCTCTCTCAAAATATCTTATTGTGTGTAATATTTCAGACTATGATTGACTGAAGATAACTAAAACCACTGGAAACAAAACCGTGGATAAGGGGGACTACTATGTTTTTACTTTGAGGTAGGGAAGCATTTCTTAAATAAGACACAAAAGCACTAATGAAATTGATAAATTTGTGTGGAGGCAGCATCTGAGATAGCACCAATATTCCCTCTCTCCTGGTATTCACATACTTGTATGATCTCCTCTCCTTGGGTGTGGACTGGGTATAGTGACTTGTATCTAACAAACAGAACAAAAGTGGTGGATGTCACTTCTAAAATTAGGTCACAGAAACACCATGGCTTCATCTGTCTAGAAAATTCTCTCTCTGTTTCTCTCTCTCAGACTGTTTACCCTGAAATAATTCAGTTTCTATGTCATGAGGCAGATCTATGGATAAATACCTATGAAAAGTCACCGAGGTTATCAATCATCATGTAAGAGATATTTGAAATGTATCCTCTCTCACTCAAGCTTTGAGATGAGACCACAGTCTCAACCAACAGCCTGACTGCAACCTGGTAATTTGCCTTGAGCTATATACTAAAACCACATTTGATTTCCTGACAGCACAGAAACCGTGAAACAAAATTTTGTTATCTTAAGCCATTAAGTTTTGAGGGAATTTATTACTTATTGATAAATAAGATCTAATTTAATATAGGCCACAGTGAAATTTAGATGAATTTGGTTCATCAAAGATACATAATTAAAATGAAATCACAAACTCTAAACTGGGAGAGAATATTTGCAATGCACATAATTAACAATGGATGGGCATCAAGAATATAAATCAAGAACTCTCCCAAATCACCATGGGATGAAAAAAAAAATGATTCAGTACAAAAATGGCAGAAGACATGAACAGGTATTTCACAGAGTAGGAAAGATGAATATTAAATAAGTATATGAAAGCATGTTCAACCCCATTAGTAATCAGAACAATGCAAAATAAGACCTCAATGAGGTATATATTTTACTCAATGGATTGTCAAAAGTTTAGAAATTTGACAATATAAAGTGATAAATAAGAAGGGGAATACTTATGTATTAATGTTAAAAATGTAAACTGAAACAACCACTTTGGAAACATTTTGACACTACCCAATAAAATTGAGTATAGTCATATTCTGAAACCCATCCATTCAGGTCATAGGGATATGCCCTGGAACAATGTCTTTAATATATACAGTCTGAAACATGATTATAGCAACACTATCAGTAATAGTACAAATATGGAAACAATCAAAATGTTCGTCAAGATAAAAATAAATTATGGCATATGGACATAATGGAATATTATATACCTTTGAAAATGAATGAACTACATATACATGTAACAAAATGGATGAATCTTAGAAACAATGTTGACTGAAAATATCAAAGTGCAAAAGACAATATAGAGCATGATATTATTTTTATAAAGTTAAAAATAAGGAAAATTAAACATTATAATTTTTATTACTACACATATAGGTAATAGAACATTTTTATTTTTGAGACAGTCTCATTACGTCGCCCTTGGTAGAGTGCTGTGATGTCACAGCTCACAGTAATCTCAAACTCTTAGGCTTAAGTGATTCTCTTGCCTCAGACTCCCAAGTAGCTGGGACTACAGATGCTTGCCACAACACCTGGCTACTTTTTGGTTGTAGTTGTCATTGTTGTTTGGCAGTCCCGGGCTGGGTTTGAACCCACCAGCTCTGGTATATTTGGCTGGTGCCCTAGCTGCTGAGCTAAAGGCACTGAGCTGGTAATAGAACTTTTAATTATTATTCATTCATTTATTTATTTATTTCTGAGACAGAGCCTCAAGCTGTCGCCCTGGGTAGAGTGCTGTGGCATCATAGCTCAAGCAACCTCCAACTCCTGGGCTCAAGCGATTCTCCTGCCTCCGCCTCCCAAGTAGCTGGGACTATAGGCCCCTGCCACAACACCCGGCTATTTTTTGGTTGCAGTCGTCATTGTTTGGCGGGGCTGGGTTGTATTTGAACCTGCCAGCTCAGGTGTATGTGGCTGGCACCTTAGCTGCTTGAGCTATATGTGCCGAGCCAATACAACTTTTAAGAAACAAATGCTATACATAGAATTCAAACCAGTAGTTAGTTTGTGGGAAGGAGTCAGACTAGAGAGAAATATTCTGATAAATGCAAGTTAATGGTGATGTTTTAGCTTTTAAATGAGTGGTTTATTATTATTTTTTATTGTTGGGGAATCATGGAGGGTACACAGAAGCTGGTTACATTGATTGCTTTTGTTAGATAGGTACCCTCTTACATTTGTGTCCCACCCCCAAAAGGTGAACCCTATCCCTTGACCCCCCCCCACGCCCTCCCTCCTTCCCTTTCTCAGCTCTCCCCATCCCCCAACCCCCACTGTGTACTCGGACCTTAATTGTCCTCAATATCAGAATTGAGTACATAGGATTCTTATTTCTCCATTATGAGTGTTTATTATCAATCTATATAACTTAAATATAAGTTACAAATATTCTTTTGTGTGCATAAAATACAACTTTATTTTAACCATTTTTAAAAATAAATTAAGAGTATTTAAAAATTTTTTATTATGGAAATTAAGAGATTTTTTTTTACATCTAAAGAAAGCAACACAGTTCATTTTATTTTAATGGAAAGGAAAAATACAGAAGGAAGAAAAGTTTGGTGAACTCCTAAGAGGATCAAGAAAAGGAATACAATTCAGGGAAAAGGAAAAAAACAACTTCTATTTTAAACAATGTCATCATTTTAATCCTAGATCATTTAGGAAGCTATGCTTGCTAAAACTGGAATTTATTAAGAGGATTATACTTTCACCTGCAGTTCATATTAATTAATTTCCATCCTTATTCTGTGCCTACATATTTAAATAGTATTTTTTCCCCCTCAATTCAGTCTCAAACACCCAGAACTGCTAAATAAAGAAGTAGATGCAGCTGCTTCTGTTGGGGCCAGAATGGGAAGTCAATCTTAGTTACATTGTTGAGACCTCCCTAACCAGTTCTGGGGTCTGATGCAGTGCCAAACTTTGGGAAAATTTTAAGGAGGCTTCGTTTGTCTCCACAGGTTATCACTGAGGGATATTGTTCACTTGGCATCTTTAGATGGTAGGCTTTCTGTGGCTTCTTTACCAAAACTGGGATAAAGAAATCTCTTATAAAATATTCATAACCTTAGGCCTTGCACTCCTGTCTCAGAGATACTCCTTCCTTACCAGGAAGCTGCAGGAAACAAGGCCTAGGTACTCTCTGGCTTCTCCCACTTTTACCCCCAAATCCAAGAGACATTTCTTTAAGATATTATGGGAGTCCCATTCTACTACAAACACAAAGCTCCTTCATGTGCATGGGTTTTTTAAAAAGCAAGCTTAAATATCTTGTAAGCTTATTTGATTTCAAACTGGGACACATACTTCCTAGGACCTCTGAGAAGAAATGAACCTGGTATCTGCCCAAAAGGAAGAAGGTGAAAGGGTAAAATATAGGGAGGAAAAATATCTAATACCTTAAAATATTATCTCAATGTTGGCAAAGATTTTTTAATCTTTGGACACAAAAAGTACTAACCATAAAAGGAAATCATTGATAAATTGGACTCAATTAAAATAAAGAACTATCTTATGTGGTAGGGGAGATACTGTGATTACAAAGGTGGTTTTCCAAGATGAAGAACTATCTTATGTGGCAGGGGAGATACTGTGATTACAAAGGTAGTTTTCCCAAGCTTATGAAATATGAAGCTTATGAAAATAAAGAACTATCTTATGTGGTAGGGGAGATACTGTGATTACAATGATGGTTTTTCAAAGATGAAGCTTATCAATTGCACTGCAGATGTGGTGACCCCTGTGATTTCTACAAATATGGGAAATTTGACTATCTAATTTGTAGTAGTGGGGGACAATATTAATGCTTTCCTCTAATTAAAAAAAATAAAATAAAATAAAGAATTGTTGTGCATCAAAAGCTACTGTTAAGAGCGTGAATAGGGAAGACAAAGAGATAATTGAAATACATATATCCAACAAAGGATTTGCATCCAGAATTCATAATGAAGTTCTACAAATCACAGAAAAGCAAATAATCCAATAAAAATGATTTAAATTTAGTGTTTCATAAAAGAAGACATCCAAATGGCCAATAAACTTGTAAAAGAAAAACAAATGTCCAATAAACATATGAATATTTGTTCAACTAAATTAAGTCATTGTGAAAATGAAAATTAAAATCATAATGCAATACCACTACACACCTACCAGTATGGTTAAAATGAGAAAGATTGACATACCAGGTGTTGGCAAAGATGTGGAACACATTTACCAGAGAAACATAAAATTCTACAATCACTTTGTAAAACTGACAATAACTATTAGAGCATTCTATGGGCCAGCAATTCCAGGAGAAATGCATACATATGTTCATAGAAGAGTGGATTTTGTTGATGTTGTTGTTGTTGTTATTGTTTGGGAGGATTGTTTGATTTTTTCTACTTATTTTTTAACTTTATTCAAATTAATATGAGGGTACAATATTTAGGTTACATCGTTCTTACTTCCAGGGCAAAGTTCCATTTGTACACGAGCCTCTCACCCAGGGGTTGTGTTATACACCCTCACAATGTGCACAGTGGGTGAGATCCTGCCTCATGACCTTTTGTTTCTTCATTTTTGAGACAGAGTCTCAGTCTGTCACCCTGGGTAGAGTGTAGTGACATCTTAGCTCATAGCAACCTCAAACTCTTGGGCTTGAGCAATCCTCTTGCCTCAGCTCCTTAGTAGCTTGAACTATAGGTGCCTGGCACAACACCCAGCTAATTTTTTTTTCACTTTTTGGTAGAGATGGGTCTGTTTCTTGCTCAGGCTAGTGTTGAACTCCTGAACTCAAGCCATCTACCTGCCTCAGCCTCCCAGACTGCTGGGATTACAGGCATAAGCCACCTCACCCAGCTCATAGAAGAATGTTTATGGCAGCCCTACTCATAAGAGCTCCAAATTTGAAACTACTTAAATGCTCATTAGCAGTAAAATTAATAAAGTGTAGGACATGCATACAATGGAATAACACACAGAAATAAGAATGAATAAACTATTTCTACATGAAACAACATGAAATCTTTCACAAACACAATGTCTAGTGAAAGAAACCAGACATACTGTATGATTCGATTTATATAAAGTTCTACACACTTAATCTTAGTCAAAAGGCTGAGAAGCGATAAAAGTTCTAAAAGAGGTAAAAAATTAACCTTTGGTCTTAGAAATCGGTAGATTGGTTATCTTTGAGATGAATAGTGGCTGGGAGAGCACATGAGGAGGGCTTCTGGGGAACTGATCATGTTACATTTTGGAATCTGGGTGCTGGTTACATGAATGTATTTTATTTATCAAAATTCATTAATCTTTACACTTAAGAGTTGTGTGTATATAATGTTTCAATTTACCTAAAATGTATCCAGTCACATTGAACTTGCAAGTCTGAGGGCCAGACTCTGAAATGTGAATCACCAATGTATCCAATGCCACCAGGAAGCTACTTATGTACCATCCTTATACTCCTTTACTAACTTTTACCTAAAATGTATAGCACTACATTTTACCTGCTAGTCTGAGGGCCAAACTCTGAAATGTAATTCAACAACATAACCAAGTCCACCCTGAAGTTTCTTAAGTCCCACCCTTCTACGCTTTCTGGTGAAATCCCTATACAGCTTTCCCTGAAACAGAGAGGACTCAGCAAAATTTCTTCCATTGAGTTCTTTAACTGGAATTATGAGCACGTAGTATGTAGGTTTTCATGAAGTGTTGTGGTCTGCCACTTACTGGGAAATTTACTCCATCCCTACATCAGCTGGAAATAAGGGACACCAACTAGTTTGAATCTACTTGCCCAACTTCACTTGATTAATCCCATCCACCCCTCAGGCAAATTGAAAATATTTTTCTGCTATTCCTTTTTTTCTCATTCTCCAGATTCTCAATTCATATCCCTAACTAAATAGGAAATACAAATGTTAATGCTTTTATAAAAATTATGCATGTTTTTTATACAAAAGTTGAGCACTAGAGAACAAGAAGCCAGGTGTGATTGGCACATGCCTGTAGTCCCAGCTATTCAGGAGGCAAAGGCCAAAGAGGATTCTTTGAGCCCAGGAGTTCAAGAGCTCAAGACTAGTCTGGGCCGGGTGGCTCACACCTGTAATACCAGCACTCTGGGAGGCCAAGGCAGGTGGATCACCTGAGCTCATGAGTTTGAGACCAGCCTGAGCTAGAGGGAGATCTCATCTTTAAAAGTAGCCAGGCAATGTGGTGGTGCCTGTAGTCTCAGCTACTTGGGAGGCTGAGGCAATAAAACCCTTGAGCTCAAGAGTCTGAGGTTGCTGTGAACTATGAGGCCATGGCACTCTATGGGGGGTGTGGAGGGGTGGATGACAAAGTGAGACTCTGTGTCAAAAAATAAAAAAAGCATGAACTGAGAGAAAAAATTACCATAAATATAGTAGCAAATAATTAATACCTAGTATATATAAAGAGTTCTTATCAATCAAAAAAGAGAATTCAAGGTTTGGTTCTTGTAGCTCAGTGACTAGGGTGCCAGCCACATACACCAGGGCTGGTGGATTTGAACCCAACTGAGGCCTGCCAAACAACAATGACAACAACAACAACAACAACAAAGAAAATAGCTGAGCATTGTGGAAGACACCTGTAGTCCCACCAGCTACTTAGGAGGCTGAGGCAAGAGAATCATTTAAATCCGAGAGTTTGAGGTGCCATGAGCTGTGACACCACAGCACTCTACCAAGAGCGACATAGTGAGACTCCGTCTCAAAAAAAAAAAAAGATAACTCAATTTGAAAATGGTAGTATCTAAGTTATGAGATATCAAAAAAGAATATGAACAGACAATTGACACAGGATGAAACACGAAAGAGCCAATAAACATACGAAAAGATGGCAAATTTTACCACTAATTGGGAAAATTAAAGGTGACATGAAGTGAAGGAGACAACACTTGTTCCGACTACAATTCAATCTGATGGATAATATTTCAAACCCATCAGATTAGCAAAATTAATGTCTTTTTGTTTTTGAGACAAAGACTCACTTTGTTGCCCTTGGTACAGAGCCATGGTGTCATACCACCTAGCAACCTCAAACTCTTGGGCTCAAATGATCCTCTTGCCTCAGCCTCCTAGGTAGCTGGGATTACAGGTGCCCTCCACAATGCCTGGCTATTTTTTGTTGTTGTTGTAGTTGTCATTGTTGTTTGGCAGGTCTGGGACAGGTTCAAACCTGCCAGCCCTGGTATATATGCCTAGCTGCTGAGCTACACAGAGCCAAACCTTGAATTGTCTTTTAGCTATTTTTAGACAGTGTTTTGCTCTTACTTAGGTTGGTCTGAAACTCCTGAGTTCAAACAATCCATCCATCTCAGCCTCCCACAGTGCTAGGATTACAGGCATGAATCACCACACCCAGCAAAGTTAATAACATTTTAAAAAATTAATTAAGAGGGGGTGGTGCCTTTAGCTCAAAGGAGTAGGGTGCTGGCTCCATATGCCAGAGGTGGTGGGTTCAAACCCAGCCCTGGCCAAAAACTGAAGAAAAAAAAAGTTAATTAAGAGGCCAGGCATGGTGGCTGCATAACAAGTTACCTCAAAACTTAACAACTTAGGCTTGGTGCCCATAGCTCAGAGTTAGAGGTTGCTGTGAGCTGTGATGGCATAGCACTCTACCAAGGGTGACATAGTGAGATTCTGTTTCAAAAAAAAAAAAAAGACACAAAACTTAACAACTTAAAACAACAAATAATTATTAGCTTACATTTCCTGTGGATTCAGGCATGCATGACCTGAATGTCTTTGCCTCAGGGTCTCTCACAGGGCTTTAATCAAGCCATCATATAGGACTGTGGTCTCATCTGAAGGCTCTACTGAAAGGAGTGAATCTACCAAATCATGCCTACAGGAGGCAGGAATCATTTGGGGCCACTTCAGAGGTTTTCTGCTACAGTGGCTTCGTTCATACTAGCCCAAACTAGAAATGGCTGTCCATTAAATGGGAAAATGGATAAACAAACTATAATATAATACAATACAATAGAGTGCTATTCAACAGTAAAAAGGCAGAATAAAATAAATTTTACACCAAAGAATACAAAGTGCATCATGAAGTTCTAGAACAGACAAAACTAGTAATTTATGGTGGAAGAAATAAGAACAGGGGTTCACTGCAGTGATGGAGGATGAGGCAGGGTTTAATTGATTAGGAAGAGACATGAAGGAACTTTCCGGGTTGATGATAATGTTTTGTCTTGATAAGGGTGTAGTCAATGCAGGTACATGCATTTGTCAAAGCTCATTGAATCACCACTTTAGATTTGTGCATTTTATTACATGAAAATTTTGCCTAAAAAGAAAAAAATAACTATGAACAGTGAATGATGAGTGGGCTGAAGTGTTTAAGGAGTGAAGTGTATTGATGTCTGCAACTTTGACATGGGTGCCAAAAAAAGCAAGATGTATTGATGATGGATGGAAAAGAAGGATGAGTAGATGGATAGTTATATTGATAATGCAAGTAAAAGGTTAACTGTAGACTCTAAGTGGTGGGTACGTGAGAATTCATTGTAAAATTCTTTTAACTTTTCTGTATGCTTGAAAATATTCATAATAAAATAGTGAAGAAAAATTAAATATGCACATTCCCTATTACCCAGCAATCCAATTCTTGGTACTTTTTCTGGAGAACAATCTCAAACATGTGTATGAGTTGACATGTGCAAGTATGTTCACTGCATTGCAATTATTGTTGTGTGTAATAGCAAAAAAAAAAAGTATAACCAACCCAATTTGTGCCTCAGTAAAGGAATATATAAATCAACTGTGATCTACTTATGCAATGGAATGCAACATACAGTGGA